ATAGCCCAGTCCACTCCACCAAGAAATCCAATAACCTGAACATAAATATGACCAACCAAGCATGGAATCAGTTTAGATGTAAAATAAGTCAAAACAAATTGTGGAGTGAGGTGGTACTCACATTGGAATAAACACCGCGCCTTTTCGCCCAAAACTTCAAGCATCTCAATGTTGTACAGAAATGCTACAACAAAAAATTTCAATAAGAGAGGTTTGATATATGGCAGTACATATAGGTGTTTGAAAAAATAAAAATAAAAAAGGCGACTGCCAGACCAACAAAACACGTGCATAGGAAGCATTTCACCTCAACATTTGGAACAAGTTTTAGAATTTGATCTGCAGCCCTGCAGCAATTAAGACTTCGAACAGTAGGCTCGTCAACATCATACAACAGAGATGCATCAGAAATGTCCAGGTCCTGTTTTAGAAAATAAAATGCTCTAAAGCAATAAAGCAAAATATATAGAGAAGAAGATATAGGACAAATGCAAAGATGGGATACAAAAAGGATGCAAATTAATATGAAAAGTTACGGTAGTAGACTTAAGATCATTATATTTACATGTGACCTCTATTCTAGTAGTAGACTTAATTTATCTTAATAATAAATCTAATTTAAGTTGATTACTTCAGTGATTTTATCAGACAAATAACAGAAAGTGAAACATAGAGAGAAGAGAGAGAGATTCCTTAAAACATCTCATCCACATGAAATAGCATGATATTTGGTTTTTGTTAAGAAAGTTTGGTCAACAAGAGGGGGAAGTTCAGTACTCACTTCTTGTACAACCAAGAGAGAAATGCTTGCATAAAGGAGGTCGATCGGTACTCCATCAAACTTAAATTTCATCACAGTAATATGAGCATCTGGAAGTGGTTGCAGTTCGGTCACCTCTTCCATCTCAGCCAGAATGTTTTGCAATATAAAGAAGAAGTCTTCCTGTAAGATAACATCACAGTGTTGTATAGATAAAACAGTGAACTATTGCAAGACTTATAACTCTGAGAAACCACTTGCAGTCAATATTTACCTCTCGATTGACATAGGATGGCCCGACATATAACATTTCTATTTCATCCCCAGGATAATGTACCTACAGAAGGCAAACCGCACAAGTATACTTCAAAAAACAAAAACAAATCAAAGCATATTACTAAAAAATCAATGAAACTAGGACTAAAAGCATATTGAAACTAAACAGTGTGTAACATTGCATTTAAGACATCCATTTCTCAATCTCTCTCTCTCTCTCTCTCTCTCTCTCTCTCTCAAACCAACTGAGACCACAAACAGAAATTTTGCAAGCACAATCAAGAGCAAGGATACTTACCCCAAGCCTATAGGAGCCAAATGTAAAAATAAGAGCATTAGCATCCTCAACCATTAGCTCTGTGTATCCTCTCGAGCGAGCAAGTTGCTTCACCCAATCCTTAACAATCTAACAATCAGAAGATAGGGTATAAAAGTTGAAACTACAAATCAGAAAATGGAGATGGAATAAATTACAAAAAATTTATAATTATGAAGTGAAAAACAAGAATGTAATGCTAATGGCAGTTAACATAGCTCCAGAAAAGCACTGTAGCACACAATTTGTTGTAAATGAGCACTAATCACCTGCTCAATTCGCTGAAGAACTTGCTCTCCCTTGGTAGCTTCCTCTTTGCTCTCATATACTCCAGCTTCTTCAATCAAAAACTTCATTTTCATAACCAAAAGATTATGAAAACCCAGAAACAATATTTTCATAACCATAAGATTAAGACCCAAAATTAATCAAGCTTTGCAAAACAAAACTCGGTAAGCACAAACCTTCTCCAACTCTATATTCATTTGAATATCGGCTTCGGTGGGTCCCGCTGTCGATATTGGCCGTGTCACTCCGTACTGCCTCGCCGACGCTTGAGGAGGAGGCGGAGGAGGCGGCGGCGGAGCAATCAATGTCGCTGAACTCTCCATCTCAGCTTCCCCCAACAAAATTGTCAACTGCGAGGAATAACGTCAACTACAAGGAAGCTTTTGTAACTTCAACGGATCATTTTTAAGGTTGACTTTGGGTTTGACGTTTTCACTTTCATCTCTTTTCGTTTTTTCCAGGTGTAAGTTTCCAGTTTTATTCTTAAAAGTTGAATAAAAGTTGTTGCTGTTGCCTCTGGTTGGCAAATTGTTGGCTCCCAAGAGTTGCCTTTTGATTTGTATCATCACTTTGGGGAAGGTTTTTCTTATAAAAATACTAGAGTCACCAAAGATGTTGATCAAATAACTCATGCATATATGGAGGACACAATGGTGGATTCAGGAATATTTTAAGGAATGGGCTGATTAATATTATATAGTAGGATTATATATATATATATTTTTTTTTTATAGAAAATGTGGTAGGATTTAAGTGGGCAGAAGAAAATAAAATCTTATTTGAGTGGCTAGGATAGACTGAATTCTAAAAGATAAGGGGCTAATATTTAATTATAGTAGATTTTGTTGTACAATCAAGACTAAAGTATAAAATCAGCACTTAGCTAAAGCCCAGTTGAGTCCCATTTGTAGGTTCGCCCTTGGGGGAACATATTTGTACGGACATCACAACCACATTATATACCATCGACTAAGTTTGTATTTTAGAATTCACGTAGGCTAGTAACACCACACAACGAAGTGACGGTCACACTCAATAATTTCTTGTATTGAACTACAGTTATCTCTTTATAACAAGAGAAACTACACTCATCCATATCATTATCAACTTTTGGCACAATGGGCTTATAACTCAAGTGATTAAGAGCATTTACCCATGCATTCTAGGTCCTAGGTTCGATTCCCCCTCCCTTAATATCTTTGTATAAAAAATAAAAATAAAAATTAACTTTTGGCTTCTGCTAAAAGGAATCACAAACACTAAAATGAGTAGGAGAGGCAATATGAGCCACTTGGAATCTTGTTTTCTCAACTATGCATATTACTACTAGAATTACCCAAAAAAGAATACTTTATGGAGATGAAATAACTTGGGCTTTCCCACAAAAGCAAAAAAGAAGAAGACCATTTGGGCTTGATCAAAGAAAAGTGAGAACAACTTGGGTTTGACTGCTTTGCCATGCAAGTTTAGGCCTGCTTTGTGAGTTTGTGAGTTGTGAGCAAACCAAATCATGGTCCAAAGTCGACAAGTTGCTACTAATTCGGTTTTGAATGAAGAAAGAGAAGGATTAAGGTACATCGATCCCTTTCCATGAAAAATGAAAAATGTCCAGAACATTAATGGCAAACTTTGAATAATGGCTGCCTAAGTTAGTACATAAACGCCCAACTCAAAGCATGGATGGTCCCTTTTCAGTCCCACTGTCCCATAAGGATTGTAATATTTACAAACTAACAGTTCTTGAAAACATATTATCACTTTCAATTGCGTTTGCATCTTCTTCTTCTTTTCTTCACGTAACTTGTTCATTATTACTCATACGTTATGCTTATGTGAATTTCCCTTTTTCACTTTGGGAACTTTTAAATGTGAATCTTATGTAGCAAGTGGGAATAGCTCTATTTTCCTTTATTGTTATCCTAAATTCGAGAAAAATTTGTGTGAAACGGGAATAACAATGTTCTGCTATCCCCAACTAAATATACCAAATGAAAAAGTTATTACGTGTGACATATCGTAATTGATTGAAAATAGAAAAACAGTATTATCCCATTTCCACACAAGTGTTTCTCCCTAAACTCGCCTCCTCCTTTAAAAATCATCTCTTGACTAAAATGTACACACCACATGATTAACTTAAACTCAAAAGCTCCACCAAAACAAAACAATCTTTTGGCTGAAAAAAGAAGTTTCCTAAAGCATACAAATTCTTTTCACCTCCTGGAAATTAATAATTAAACGAACCCTAAGCAAATAATATCTGTGAAAATTCCTACTATCCCCCTCTTACTCGCTCAAATTGATGAAATTGATTTCTTTTAATGTCAAAATGTTCCAACTTTCCATGTTCACAAAGTTATTGTGTAACGTTATGCATTTACTTATGACTGGATTTTAGCCAAAACATTGAAGAAAGAATATATAAGATCCATACTATATCTGGTTCCTTATATCCACACCATCATGTGACATAAATCAATAAAAACTGTTTTCCACCAAATTTTTTTTATTAAAAAAAAAAAAAAAACTGTGACAACAGGAAAAGGATCTGCATATTAAAAAATAAATAAATTTGAAGGAAATCAAAAAACCATTTTCAAATCACCTGCTCCTAAAAGTAAAAGATGCCACACACAGTCAATGGCAGATTGCCATTTTTATCTAACTTTGGTATATCCCAAATATCAGGAAAAATTCAAAACCCAACATTTATGGAATTTCAAATCCCAAGATTACCCCCTCCCATTCTCTCTCTCTCTCTCTCTCTCTCTCTCTCTCTCTCTCTTCTTAATAAGCAGCGTCTGCATCCCCCCAATGGATTCAGATCTGCTTGATCAGCTCTCGTTTAGGAAAGACCCATTGTCAACCAAAGCTCTGTTTCAAAGATTTTGATGCAGAAAGAATGGCAGAGACTGAGTTAAGAATCATGGAGAAGAGGGAATCACTGTGAAAAAGATACGGAAACTGATCAAACATCTTCTCTCCAACCCAAGATAGAAAGCAAAGTCTCAGCCTTTTTCGGCTCTCTCACTCATACAACTCTTTTAAGGGACAAAGGAGAAGCTATAAAAAGCTGTCCTTTTTAGTGGGTAAATGGGCTTTTAAAGCCTGCTCTGTTTTTCCAGCTCTTATAGTACACAGTCTGAGTCTACTTCAACGTATAACAGACAGAGAAAGAGAGAGAGATATCAGAGAAATTTATGGCTTTAATTATAAGTTAAGAAGGGTAGAGGGTTAGAAGCAGAAGATAGCAGAAAAGGGTTTTTTTTTTTTTTCTTTCTTTAAAGAGAGAGAGAGAGGGAGGAAGAAGCATAATACTCCAAAGGGTTTTTGAAAGAGGCTTTTGAAAAAGAAAACAAAATCGGAAAATATTCACGGGATTGTCAGTGGGTAATTGGGTATCTTTCATTTTGAGTACACGTTGCTCCAGAAAGTTGAGATTTTTAGTGAGAGAGAGAGAGAGAGAGAGAGAGAGAGAGAGAGAGGAGAAATAGATAGAGTGAAGCGGTGGTGGTGGTGCCTTTTGTCGTTGTAGTTTTGCCAAGTTTAGTCAGAAGACAAAGTGGGAGTAAATTCGGCGCTTTTTTTGAATTTAAGATTTTAAGGAGGCGGTGTGAAGTGAAGTGGTGGGGGTATCTGGGTAAGTCTCCCTTTTCTGTGAAAATGTTTACATTAAGCTTCTGCACTTTTCATGCTTTGCTTTGTCTGTAATTCTTGTTTGTTTACTTGGGGTGACTTTTTGAAGCTTTGGTTGGTTATATTATAATGGATTTGAACCTCTGCATCTTTCTGTGACACTTTTTGTCTTGTAATGCAGTTCTTCACGAGGTGCTGTCAGAATTTCACCGAAGAAAATAAAAAACCAAGTTTTATCCCCATTTATATTTTAAGGTTTTGATGCTTTTTTGTTTGTTAATCTTTTGCTCCACACTTCTTTGCTTGCAACCTGTAAAGATTCCGAGAGATCTAGCAGAAACCCTTTATGCTCTATTTTAGCTAGCTCCACCTTTGGTTTTGTTCCCTTTTGGATTGAGTTTTTTTCAAAAACATTTCTATTTATTTCTTTCTTCCCTTCTCTAGTGCCTCTTGGAAATACCTTTCTCCTAGTTTCTCACTCCGAAATCTAGTGAGTAAAAATGGGGATAGCTTACTAGGTTGTGGTGCTCACTTCACTTTGCTCTTTAACTCACTTCAACATTCTCTTTATCTTTCTAGGACTTTCTCCACTTGTTTCTCTCTCCCTTTTTCTCTCACTCCATATTTGTTGCTTTGTTGGTGTTTGTTTCTTCATAAACTCCCGCTGGGTCTTTTGAGTTTTGACTTACCCTTTACTTAATCTTTGCCTCCTTTTAACTTTCTCTCTCCAGCTTGTATCTTCAGATTCTAGAGAGAGAGAGAGAGCAAAAATATGGGGAGAGCTACAAGATGGTTGAAGGGCTTGTTGGGGATGAAGAAAGAGAAAGACCATGTTGGCAATACAAGCACTACATCTGGTGATCGGAAGGAGAAGAAACGGTGGAGTTTTGCCAAGTCGGGGAAAGACACAAACAATCTTCCACCAAATGTTCCTGTCCCCGACTCTGCTTGGCTCAGATCCTATCTTGCTGAGTCAGACAAGGAGCAGAATAAGCACGCAATTGCGGTGGCTGCTGCCACCGCAGCTGCTGCTGATGCCGCCGTGGCCGCGGCTCAGGCGGCCGTGGCAGTTGTGAGGCTGACAAGTCAAGGCGGTGGACTCATGTTTGGAAAAAAAGAGAGATGTGCTGCAATGAAGATTCAAACTGTTTTCAGAGGCTATCTGGTAAGCAGTTTCTCAGTTTTTAATCCATTCCTTGCCTTAAATTGATTATTGGTATGGTTTTGCTTAGAGAATGTTGCATTGAAACTCTGCTTGATATGGTTGCGTGAAATGGTAGTAAATTTTGACTACGCAAAAAGTTTTCTTAGTTCTTACTTTTATGTCTGCTCGCAAAAAGTTGTGAAATTGTTTCCAAATCCTAATGGAACAGTAGAATACAAACATTTGTCGACTATTGCTTCCAAATCCTATGCAACAGTAAAAACAATTGTTTTCTTGGTCAATCAAACGGCTGAGAATTGTTCTTCCCTCCCCTGTTTCTGACCGGGCTACTCATTCTGTGAGCCCCCATGCCCGAATGTTATGTGTTTGAAATTTGAAATCTTGTTTCTTGTAACAGGGTCATGATTGCACTGTATGCCCCCATTTGTGTTATTATTTCGGTTTTCTTGCTTTTTTTTAAGTAATGATTTATTTTCTAAAGTTGGCTTTGGTTTTTCACCTTATTTTCATTTGCACAACTTGGGCTGCTACATTTGTGACTAGTTTTATTATGAACTTGCAAAACCTACCCCAACTTCCTCTGGTATGTGCATTGTTCTGTTGAATCTAAATTTGGTTTTGCCTTCAGGCACGAAAGGCACACCGAGCTCTTAGGGGACTGGTTAAGTTACAGGCTCTTGTTAGAGGCTATCTTGTTCGGAAACGGGCTGCTGCTACTCTTCACAGTATGCAAGCTCTTTTTAGAGCACAGACAACTGTCCGATTCCAGCGAGCACGTCGTTCTTTCAATAAAGAGAACAGGTTTCTACCTGAAATCAAAGCCCGGAAGTCCGTTGTAAGTGCTAATTTCACCAACCTCTAATATTGGATCACATTTTACATTTGACTTCTTTCTTACACATAAAATTTGTTTATAGCAGGAAAGATTTGACGATGCAAGAAGTGAATTTTATAGCAGGAGGCTATCTGCCACTTATGAAACTTCCATTAATGGCTTTGATGAAAGCCCAAAAATTGTGGAAATTGACACATTCAAAACCAGATCCAGGTCTCGTAGATTCAACACCATACTATCTGAATGTAGTGAAGAACTGCCTTACCAAACAATCTCATCACCACTTCCCTGTCCATTTCCAACCCGTATTTCTATACCTGATAGACAGCAGCCTCAAGATTTTGAATGGTGCTTTAATGGTGACGAATGCAAGTTCTCTACTGCCCACAACACTCCACGGTTCACAAACTCTTTTCGATCCAATGCTCCCGATACACCAGCCAAGAGTGTTTGTGGCGACAGCTTCTTTCGGCCTTACTCAAACTTCCCAAACTACATGTCAAGCACCCAGTCATTCAACGCAAAGTCAAGGTCCCACAGTGCCCCTAAGCAAAGGCCGGAACCAGGGCCGAAGAAGAGGCTTTCGCTTAATGAAATGATGGCAGCAAGAAACAGCATAAGCGGAGTTCGAATGCATCGATCGTGTAATCAAGTCCAAGAAGAAGAAGAAGAAAAGGAAGAGGAAGAAGTCCTGAAGTATTGAGCAAGCTGCAATTAGAAAGGTCCTGTCTTTGGTTAAAATCAGGGAGGGCTTTGCATAGAAGATGGTAAAAAAAAACAGATTGGAGAGAAGGAGAAGCTCTGTGCCTTATTTTCCCCACTTCAGTATTAACAATGAATAGGGTAGAACACAGAGTGCTTGTGTAAATTCCTTTTTTTTTTTTTTACCTTCCATTTTCCTTTTTCTCAACGGTTTCTTTCAAATTGTTCTTATGATCTATGAGTCAATGAGATGAAAGGAGCTTCTACATGTTAATTTTCTGAGAATCACAATTCTGGTCTTGGCAAACAATAATCACAAAAATGGCACCAAATGGCAAAAGGATTCCACTATTTGGCCTTTGCCAAAAACATTCATGAAAAGCTAATAAGGTATAACTCAATGAAAAATAACCTTAACTTGCTGACTAAAAATCTCATGTCACGGACAAAAAGGAATTTACTATGATTACAAAAGAGACTCAAAAATGCACAAGTCTCGACAAGTCTCAAGTTGTTGGTTTGCCTAGGCACGTAGCAGAAATAGACAAAAAGATCTCATTTTCCATCCGTCGCTAAATTCATAATAGTTCGTGGATTTCAAGCAGGGATAAGAATAACATCAGAACATTATTGAAGCAGGAGCCGCATTATGCAGGAATTTGAAATCTTTTTGAACCCCCAACTTTCCCACCAAAGAGCTCAGCTGCTTAGCTTCCGCGAAGCTTCTGCTTCTCTCTGTCCTAGGCTTGTAGCTAGCCTGATTTAATAAACTGGACGCTGCTCTGGTTCTTTTGCCTTGCATTTATATATTTAGGCAGTGATTGAGACATATTTCGATGAGCAACGTTTAAATTTGTCCTTTACAATGGAAAAATAATAATTTATTTTCCAAAAATGGCAGGGAAAGACAGTGGTGGGTTCAGAATTTCAAATCCCATCGATGATGCAAATGAGATTTAAGAAATTATCAATATCAATCATGAAGCTTATGCAGGAATTAACAATGAATGTGCATTTTATAATCCAATGTTTATAAATTCTCCCTCATTAAGATGAGAATTGTGTAACGTTGTGCTAAGAAGAGATCTTTTGTCCAACACCTCTCCTTTACTACAATAAGGATTTGTTTTTGCCCACAAGTCTTTGCTTCATATATATGAGGATTGGGAAAAGGGGAGGGTACGTAAGAATCGAATTTTTTTGCTCTAAATATATACGCGATAGATGTTTTACCATTGAAGTCAGAAATCTCGATAGTCATGACCTCATATTGTGTTACATTATGTTTCTCATTATGTATACATGTAAGCCCTAGGAATTGTTGTCATAATTAGTTACAAAAATAAGTTGTATAGTTGCACTGTTTTATGAACTCATAGAAGCGCAAGACCCAAGTGCCAATGGCGAAAAATGACTCAAGCACTCTTTCACGCGCTCAAACTGCATGTGGGCCAAAAAGTAGAAAACTACACACAGAAAGGGAAGGAAGGAAGGAAGGCTCGGGTTTTTAATTTGTTTTGGAAAATAAAGAAATCAAGGAAAGGCTATGGTAATTATTGTTGTAGACCAGACCCCATGCATGGATTTTAAATTTCTTATCAGCAATGATTAGGGCTTTGATCTGATTGATGGGTTTGTGGGTTTGGTTTCTTTGGAACTGGTGATGACTTTTTCCAAGTCTTCCCTTGCGTTGATTGCTTGCATCAGCTATGATATGACATGATGATATATGGCCCACCAACTCGAAGCTCAAACTGGTAAAAAGTTTATAAAAAAAAACATGATTATAAAGGGCAATTTGGGTACTTGAGCCGGTTTTTGACTGAATCCCTTATCCTTTTCTCTTCCTTGCTTAAGCCATACATCATCATCATCATCATCATCGTCTTCATCTTCTTCTGGATGGAGTCATTGCGTTTGAACACTTCGTGCAGCGTGCCGGTAAGGTTCTCTGAGGTTTGTCCTTCACACGACTTAATTTGTGACAAACTAGGCCTAGGGTTGTCCAACCTCATTATGATATTTGTGTGGTTTTGAAGACTTAATGTTGGAAGGTAATGGATTAGTGTTCGATGTTTGGTTCGTATATCTAGTTGTGTAGTTTAGAAATGCTATTCTTATTTTCGAACAATGAAACCAACATTTTGAAAACAGAGAAGATATTGAACTTAGAACTTTATACTCAAGCTCGTTAATGTAAAGTCTAAATATATACCCAAGACATTAAATTGTGGACTTAAGACCCACAACCTCAAACATGAATTCATGATTGAAAGCTTCAATCCTTTGACTAAGACCTTGTACATTGGAACTGACACTTTAGCACTTGAACATCCAAAATTAGGTTTTAAACTTGGACTTCGAATCCTAGCGTCTAAATCGAAATATTAAGCTCAAATTTGACTCAGAACTTGATTTATCTGTCAAATCGTAAAATTAATTTTCTTTTCCTCTTTTGTCTCTCAAATGGTTTGATTGCATTTTTCATTTTTGTTTCTTTAATTTAGTGTATAGACAAAGGATGCTAGAAAATACATACAAAATAGTGTAAGTAAAACTGAAAATGTATAGAAGGTTTCTGAATTGTAAATATATCATGGAACATCAGGTCTCCTTCCTAAATTGAAACAAAAATAAACCCGAACAACAAGGGGTCATGAAGTCCAATTTCGGCATATTTATCGAGAAGCCAACCACATGGTGGATTCTATAGCTAATTTGGGTCATGCTCTCAACCCTTCTCGCCTATGGGAGAATGGGGTTCCTCCTTTTATTTTTGATCTTCTTGGGACTCTGTGCTTGAGAGGGTTTCTCTTGTAATTCCTTTTTCCTCATAAAATAAAAATAAAAAACAAGGGGTCATGAACAGTAATTCAAATTATGGAATATATATTTTTTGGGGACATGAAGATGGAATATTCTTAAAATATTATATTAAGATTTAATGATAAAGTATAATCGAAGTTTAAATTCTTTAGAGACAAGTTATTTAAACACATTCGAATTAGAGTGCACGTATTAAAGCTTTGGTTGAGTTCCAGAACCAAATAAAGTAAATTCTTTTCGACCTAAAAAAGAAAAGAAAAAAGTGTAAAGGCTTCTATAAGAAAAGAAAGAAAAAAAAGGTGTCTCAAAGGCATCAATTTTGGCATCCGATCTTCTAAGTGTTCTCCTTGTTTCTTTTGATAAAGCAAAATAAGATTCCTAATCTCCCAAAAGTTACTGCAAATCTTTAGTAAAGCTAAATATATACACGTACCATAAAAGCTTCTTTTTGCATGAAATGTTACGTGAAAAGTTAAATTGACCAATCAAATATCTTTCTTAATGCTTGAGAAGAAAAATTTATCTTTCTTGTCATAGAAAATGTCATTTTTGAAATAATTCAGCCATGAACCTTTTTCTTCAAAAAAAACTTTGACGATAAACTTTGATTTAAATGAGATTTATATTTTGTAATGCCTTTCTCATATAATGAATTTTAAATATTTGAACCCTAGTTAATAAGTTACGGGACGAGAAAAGTATGAATAAAAAGTATAGACAAACGGATTAAATTATAGGTTAAACTCTCGACCACATTCATCATTGCATGAACTGATCAAAATTAATGCTGTCTTCACTGGTTGCTCCAATTTCAAACTGCATTCATAATTATGCCAAACTGAATGATTATATTTACATTCATAATGCTGTCGAGGTATTAGAAAAAAAAAAAAAAAAAAAAAACAGAATGATTCTAGAGATGAATTTTAGAACAACTCATATTAAAATAGGCGTGTTAGCAGTAGGTCATATTATCAGAGATGAAAGAACTTAAATGATATTGACTTCTCCACCATATGGCCGATTAATTTTGAGTTAAATGTTCATATTTTAAAACTGTCCACATGCAGGTGTCATGTTTGATAAAACAAACATTTCTCAATTAACTAACACACTACTAAACAATATTTGAACAGAAAAAAGAGACGTTGAGAACTGTAAGACAAGATTAATTAAAGTATTCGTGCCCTTAATAAACCAGTATGCCTCATCTGATTCAAACACTGACAAACACAATTCTTTATACGATTTGTTTGAAAAAAAAATCACTTGCTACGAGAATAGGAAGGTCGAATATGTTTGGTCGAGCGGCTGTACGCGTTCGTCATCTCATCTCATTGTGGTTTTGAACTAATTATAAAAAAAAGTCATAAGATTTCAAAACCCATTAAGATAATAATCATGTTCCAGAGGGTTCTTGTTTTAATCAATCCCTTAAATCTGATTAATTAATTATAATGTTGGTTTGAAAACTTTGAAGCTGAGTCAAAAGTTGCATTAATGGTACTGTAGAGATTTTGCTTTTGGTTTATGTGCTTTGTTCCTAAGCACTATTTCAAAATCAAAGGCTGGCAATTTGGCGTCACCTCAACCCTAACCGTCCTTTTGTCGGCACATTAGGGTTTTTTTAATTTTATTTTTTACTTGGATAAGGTTTTGGGTTCTCAATGCCTAACAGCTTCACTTGTACATCCAAGTAGTCTTTTCATCCAATAATTTACATCTTAAATATGAGTTTTGATAAGGTTTGGATTTTAAAGGTAAAAATTTGCAAAGACCCAACGAGTTCATCATCTTTATGACTTTTATGACTAATGGACTGGTTTGAATTTTAGTTCATCATCTTTATGACTTTTATGGCTAATGTACTGGTTTGAATTTTAGTTCATCATCTTTATGACTAATGTACTGGTTTGAATTTTAATTCCAACCATTTAATGCATTCTAATATAATGGTTAAAAACTTGTCCCGCTATAGATCCGCCTATATACTTTAGTCGTTTGTGCATGTTTTCATTATCCGTGCAGGTGTTGTGTTTAGTTTTTTTTTTGGATTGTAAAACCCAGAAAGTGACTTGAATTGATCATATGAAATAAGAGTTATTTGCACTAGCACCCTCCTTCTCTTCTCGAATTTTAGGTTTTTTCACAAAAATCCGTTTCAGAAATTACACGAATACTTCTATTTCAAATTGTTTTCGTAGAACCTTTTTTCGTTGATTATTCGTCCAAAACTTGATGATTTTATTTATAAAAAAATGTGTAAATAACAAAATCAACCTCAATGTATATGCAATCTAATCTCAAAGGCTAATTTTGTCCTTTTGGAGAATTTTTATATATATATATAATCATCAATCTTTAACGAAAAAACAATTAAAATGGATGTTGTGAAATCAATTTAAAATCTCAAAGGGTGTTCGTGTAATTTTTGAAACCTCAAGAGATTTTAGAAAAAAACCGAAAACCTAAGGAGATGTTAGTGTAAATAACTCTATGTAATAACTCAAAAAATTTCCAACAATCATCCTATGGAAAATGTGAGTATATGAATATATGTTTTGAATGAGAGCATGGATTTGCACGGACTTGCTTTTTTGTTTTAGTACAATGGGGCCAAGGGCCTAAGTAAAACAAATCTACATGAGTGTTTCTGGGCCTAACCAAAATCTTCCAACAAAAGATGGACGATTTAAGAAAAGGAAAAAGACCAAATGAGTATGGCATATGCTCAATCAAAGCCCATATTAGCAAGCCCACCAGCTATAAAGCTTACTATGGCAAGCCCATATGAGCAATAGAAAATTAAATTTCTTCGCATCCAATAATTGTCCTTTGAACCCGTCCCATTATTTTTTTTACAAATTTATAAATAAACCCAATTTTAAACATGCATTTATAAAAAAATTCAAATACTATTTAAATATAGAAACACATCCAAAATCAACTCCAAAATCAATAATTGTATATTTTTTGGATGTGTTTATAAATGGGTTTTAAGTGCATGTAATGATGGGTTTTGGGTGTGTTTTTAAAGTGTTTTGGGTGTTGGGTTTTTTTATAATTTCAGTCCCCATTTTGGGTGTTTTAGTAAAACTCCCTATTTTTTTTCCCTTCAGCCGAAACTTTCCATTTCCGTAAAATATTATTAGCCTCTTTGCATGCGTTTCTGCGCATGCGAGAGGTTTTTTTTTTAAAAAAATTTTAAATTTATTTTAGAATTAAAAAAAAACAATGGGTAGTTGTGTTTTATAAAAATAGGATTCATGATCTGATTTTTCTTTTAATTTTAATTTTTTTAAATATAAAAAAGTGTGAATTTACTATATTGTCCTCATTTAATTAATAATTACAATTCTTAATGTTTGCATTAACCAATGACATTTTTCTGGTATTTTAAATGTTTTACAATTATTTACCTTTTGCTTTATATATATAGATTCCTTGCCCTATCCACAAGAAAAACTTTCCTGGCTCGGGGATGCCAGGGTAATCAATCCAGCTAAGTATCCCCTTCCAATTATCTCTCGACAGCTGTCACCCATTAAAATTGAAATAAAAATAAAATTGGTTGCCTCTGTTCCTCATCCTATGCGAACCCAGCAACTGAAATCCCCTTTCTCTCTCATATCTCCCTCTCCTTCTCTCTCTTTTTGCGCGGCCCCTCTCCCTCTCCCACAGGTCAACCCGAACCCCCTATCTCTCTCTGTTTTGAATTACTCTCCTCTCTCCCCATCTGTCTCTCACTTTGCATCAGCCACATCGGAGGCCGCCAAGAAAAGATAAAAAGAGAGGGAGAGATTGGCCTCGAAATTTGATGTCAGTCACCTCAAGTTTGGAGTTTGGCAAGCTCACCGCCGCTGCCACTGTTGTTGGCGTGAAGAGAGAGAACGAGAGGGAGAGATGATAAGAGATAGATAACACCAACGATGGTGGAGGGGATGGGGACATAAAGGATGGAGGATGGCAGTGTCGAATTTGACGCCGACGAATGTGGCGCTGGGACGACAAGGGCTTGAATGTTGGTTTGAAGAATATTTTTTTTTTTTGGTCAAGTGTTAAAGTAGAGTTGCTTGGTTCGCATAGTATGAGGAGCAAAGGCAACCAAAATTTTTTATTTTTTGAATTTTAATGGGTGACAGCTGTCGAAAAATCATTGGACGGGGATACTTAGCGGGGTTGCTGACCTGGCATCCCCGTGCCAGGAAAGTTTTTCTCCCTATCCACATAAGAAGTTCTTCCTCAAAACAAATAGGATTTTGACACATGTCAATTTCATTGAACTTTTTCTTTTTATGAAATTCTTTTAATTTTCTCATAAAAGAATTTGACAAGTGTCAAAATCTCATTTGCTTTGAGGATGAACTTTTAATTTGATGACAAGTGTTATAATTTTTTTTTTTAAAAAAAAATCTGATTTGGTAACTAAATTTTAAAATTTTTGGTGACTAAAATATTATTTATACTAGACACGGAATTTTTTTTATTGTTTGTTTTTATAAATAGTTTTTAATTATTTACTATATGTTGTTTTTACACGGAACAAAAATATTATTCTGTTTTGATAACGAAATTATTGTTTTTGTTTTTGTTTTTGTTTTTTTTAATGGATTGCGATTTGATTTTCAATTCATTACTAGTTATCCATTGTGGAGCAGTAATATAGTAAAATTAAGTAAGAGATCTCTAGAAAAAAGAGGAAAAAAGAAGAAGAAAAATTAGGTAAGAGGCCCCATTTTATCATCCACGTCAGAATTGATATCCACCAACCAATTTTTGTACCGTTGCAAAATTTGCCTTCCAACGGTCATCTCCGTAGTTATATTATAATCTCCAACGGTCACAAAATTCAAAATTCAGATTTCTCTCAATTCTGCAGCAGAAGCAAACAGAAAACCATATCATATTCTGAGCACCAGAAATTAAACATATCCATTGTTACCAACTTACCAAGAAGAACACAGTGAGAAAAAAAATGGAGGGTTCTGATAAGGTTCTTTTATCATCAACACCAACTAGGCGCCCTGTAACACAAGAGCCCTCTGCATCTGGTACGCTCTCTCTCTCAGTGTTTGTAGTTATGATTTGCCAATAAGACGTTTGTTTAAAATAAAAAAAAATTTCAATATGCTAATAAGAGTTCATAATTCATAGTTCAAGTTTAGGAAAGACAGATACTCCATTTCTTTTTTCTTCTGTTTTGCAAAACGGAGCATTAGAAATTTAAAACTCTTTTGATTCATCATATATTCTAGTTTTTGTTTCAAAAATTGTTTTCTTTCTTTCCAAAATATGCAGACGAAAATGATCAATATCATCAGCAAGTGGGCAATTCCCATCTGCGGAGCCCAAAGAAACCAATGGCAAAGAATTACATGTCCCCAACTATATCTGCAACGTCCAAGGCCATTTCTTCAAGAAAGAACATCTTAGGCGAAAGAAATGAGGCATCCGAACTCAATTTTTCCAATACCCTTGTTGAAAAGTCCACCCATATAGGTACTGACAATGGTAATGATTCTTTATCCCAAGCCTTGCCATTAACCCCTTCAGTTTTTCAATGCCATGATGATGGTAAAGCTCTTTCTGATAGTCTATCTTCAAGGCCTTATGACCCTATAACTAATTACCTTTCTCCGAGGCCTCAATTTCTCCGGTACAACCCAAATAGGCGCCGGGAGCGTTTTCTTGGCCTAGAATATGGTGGTACCGAAAGAAATGAAGACTTGGGTATTAGCAGAAGTGGTTCTTTCGATTCCCAGAATGCTATTGATGAGGAAGCTGGAACTATTACCACTCCAAGTTCTTTGGCTTCTCCTCGTCAGGATGATCTTCTTAGCAGAAGTGGTTCTTTCAATTCCCAGAAAGCTACTGATGAGGAAGCTGGAGCTGTTACCACTCCAAGTTCTTTCGCTTCTCCTCGTCAGGATGATCTGCTTAGTATAAGTGGTTCTTTCGATTCCCAGAAAGCTATTGATGAGGAAGCTGGAGCTGTTACGACTCCCAGTTCTTTGGCTTCTCCTCGTCAGGATGGTCTTACTAAGCAAGGAGATGAAGAAGTTGAGGAGAGTGATGGAGAAATTGAGGAGAGTGATGAGGAAATTGAGGAAAGTGATGAGGAATATGAGGAGGTGAAGGAAGAGAAGAAGGGTTGGAAATTGAAAGGGCTTTTTAAAAGTTTGCTTCTTTTGTTGGTTCTAGTACTCTTTACCTCACATATATCTACTATGAACCATCAAACAGTCTTTGAAGGCATTCAAGATGATGGGTGCATTCAGAACCATACACTTGAAGCTGCTTTATTGAAGAAACTTGAAAGTGGAGGTATGCTTTGGGATGAAAAAGAAGAAAGACACATGGGTTTGGTGGAAATAGGGGTTGAGGAGGGAAAGTTGGTTGAATTTGAGAGTGGAAGTGAAGTTATGGGTCAAGGAGAAGAAGAAACACGAATGGATTCATTGGAAGAAGTGTTAGAGCTAAAAGATGAAGAAATTGAAGCTATGGAAGTGACAGAACAAGAAGAGAATGGAGTAATGGATGAGTTTGGTGAAAAACAAGTTGAAGATATTGACGAAACTTTTGATCAAATGGCTGAGAATTCTGATCAGATACCTGGTGAGGTTGATCACCTCAATCTAGTGTCTGATGTTTCAAATGATCTTGAAGAAGAAGGTGAGGTTGCAGTGGAGCAAACTGATGGAATGGTGGAGAATAAAATGGAGGGAGGACTAGAAGAATATTTCACGAACATGATAGCTGAACATGTGTCAAAGACCATGGATAATGACGATGATGCAGGCTTTGATGAGATTCTCAAGTTAGAAGCAGAAGGGAACTGGAGGGAGGAGCTAATCACCCACATGAAATTGAAAACATTTTATACAGCTCTTGTTGGGGTTTCCATATTTTCTGTGATTGTTGCATCTCTGGTGTTGGCTTTTCGCTTTAAGCAAAGGAATGGTACAAAAAAGGGTTCTTCTGTAATTGAAAATCCTTGTGCCAAACGTCTGATAATAGAGCAGAAGAAAATCAACGAGAAGGTTTCTTCTCTGCCCTTGAAGCCGTATTCAGAAACTGTGATAGCAGAGAAATACAAGCCAGTACTTCCCAATAGGGTAGAAGACAGCAGCATTGAGCATGTTTACTCTTCTTTCAGAAGGATGTCTTTGTCTTCTAAGCATTCAACTGAAGCAGCTTCTGAAGATAATTACCATAGCCAGGCACCAGCAGTCGAATTGCTTGGTGAATTTGTGGTTGGAGAGGTCAGCAGCTCATTAAGGACTTGTAGTATGAAAAACAAGATCACAGAAAGTGAAGAAAGCAACTATTCTGTTTCTTCAAAGAAGAAATTGGGGAGCAAGGTTCAGTCTGTTTCTTTTCAAGTGCATCCGACTGCGTCAGAGTTTTCTTCCATGGATTGCCCTTCAAATGGAAGCTATATTACTCCTCAGAAGATCATAAAGAAAAAGGTGAGCATTTCTTGGTGGCATAAAAGTTTTACTTAATTCCTCTTAAAAAGAATTTGACAATTAGGGCAGTGGATTAGTAATTAAATTCATGACATAATACCAATTTTGAAATGCTAGCATTATGCAAACACATTGCTTATTGCCTTCCTCGTTACTGTTTATGTGCAAAAAATGCTAATTTTGGAGGGTAGAGAGGTGTATATTTGAGACATTTTATGTTGAATCATCATAATTAATCATTTATTCTTGTTCTTTTTTCTGTCAATTTAGGAGGGTGGAAAAGATGAAGAAGTTACAACTCCGCTGAGACGATCAAGCAGAATTCGCAACCGAACAGTCATGTCTCCATGAATCTTCTGGCCTTAAATCTTATGTTCTGGCTTGCACCATAACACACAGCTGCTATGTTGTTTCCTAGTTCAGCATTCTTCCACTGAAGAGTGTCTGGAGAATTTTGGCTGTGTGATGCCAATTAGTGTAGAGAAACTGATTTGTTTTCAATTTGTCTGTAGTGTAGGGCACTCATTCTTCATTTGTATTTCTAGATTATCAGAAATTTGCAATTTTTTTTAGCAGAACTTTCTCTATAACCTTTTACTTCATGAATTAACTTAACTATATACAAAAACAAACACCGCTGAAGTTTCCTGGACTACCATGGTTGCTGGGTCTGCCAACAATGGTGATATGAAAACGGCAATGAAATTGTATGGAAGAATGGTGGAGAAAAATTCAGTGGCATGGGTGGCTATGATAGCGATGTATGGGAAGTGTGGAAATGTTTCGGAGGCCAGGATGGTTTGGGACGAGATACAGAGGGCAGATGCATCATGTTGGGCAGCAATGGTGGCTCGTTATGCTCAGAATGGCTATGCAATGGAAGCCATTGAGATGTATAAGAAAATGAGGGAAGAAAAGTGACCGTCCATGAGGTGGAAGTGATTGAAGATATTTCAGCTTGTACACAACTTGGGGATGATGAAGTTGCAGCCACATTGGCAAAGCATGTGGAAGACAATATAATGCATTGATCGCCTCTCTTTTTCTCAAAAACCCAAAACCAGCCAAGCCCCTATCTTTTTCTCACCTTACTCCGTAACTCCTCAAGGTTGTGATTGAGTGAACCGGACAAAGCTTTCTCATTGTTGCCCATTCTTCTTCCCAACACCCACTCACCTCAAACCTGTTATATCTCCACCTTTGAGCTCCTTTTCCTCTCTGATTAAACACCATATCCATAGTGAATCAATTATCCTTATTTTTCCCGGAAAATGAGGGAAAGTGGAGGAAAATAATAAAAGACAAACAAGTTACAGGGAAAGCTTTCCCATGTCACTTTTTTTCTTCCCCAGTACGTTGTATTGTCTTCTTTTGAATCTTGGGTCTTCAGCATTCCAACAGAATATGAGGAACCATGGATGGCAACTTCCTTACCATCCTCTTCAGGAGTAGTTTCAAGAATCTTCGCTTTGGTTTTATAGCTCAGTCAATTGATGTAGTAATTTTTTTTGTGTGTTGTTGTTCTGCATCTGTTGCTGTATTTCTGGCCTTGGCCTTGGCTTTCTGTTTTCTTTGCTCCTTTTGTTAGAAATAAAGATTTTTCAGTACATTGTGATGGGCCTCGACGCTCCTCTTGTAAGTTATTTCTCTTGAATCCCTATTTTTATACAATTTTCTTCTCATTTTTTGGTGGTTTGTGACCTAAGACCCGTGCTTTCTCTTCTTGTTGACATGTGATTTATGCGTTTGGTTCTTTATATTTTCAGTGTATTTTCAATATTACGTATCTCTTGTTCTCAATAAGAAGTAACATCTCTCTTCTTTTCAGATTACAAGTGTCTTCTTCAGCCTATATATTTGGTGTGCAGCTGCTGATCCTGCAGATCCAGGAGTTTTTAGATCAAAGAAATATCTCAAGATTCCAGCCGATGAAAAGCATACTAGAAGAAAAGATTCTAAACTATGTGGAGAATCAACATCATCAATGCAAGATGCTAATACTGTAACAGTTGTAGGCAAACTTCTGGATAAGGATGTTCTGGGCAAAGAAGCGACTTCAAAAATGTCCACCAGTGATAGTGGAAAGAAGAACGCATCTGAAACTTCGTCTTGCATCCTGTTGGCTTGCTTTTCACCCCTATGGTTACTTCTCTACTCTTGGTAAGCATAATCTTCGATTCTGTGTCTTTCTTAGGATCTCTCATATGATCAAAACTTACAATCACCAACATATTGTTTCGTGTTGTATATATGAGGCCTTTGAGTTTGCTCCAATTCCAGGTAACCTAGGCCCTAGAATTTTCAAACCTCATTCACTCCACCCATCTAAACATTTCCAGAATTCTAAATGGTATGCAATGTTTGCAGTCAATCTTCGAGGCATGACTTACTGCCTCAAATGAACCTCAGTTTCTCCTAACTGGGATTGGATACAAGGATCTTATTTTCTCCATTCAGCTATATCTATGGAATTCTCTTTAAAATATGGATGACAGTTTGCCAATATTCCATAAGCAATCAACTGTTAACTTGATGGTCTTCTAATCAATGTCAAAAATAGTAAACTACTCCTGGTCTTACATTTTATCCTATATTTTCTGCCATCATTCCCAAAAGCAACAAACCAGAACCTAAAGATCACCTCAGAGTAAGCGTTTTTATTTTAGTTAGCTATTGACATGTATGTATAATGTACTGGAATCTTCATGATTATCTGCTGTATAATTGAGAGGAAGCAGTTCTCTGCTGATATTTCTTCCAAGTTGGGAAGCAGTTTCTCTATAGTTCCTTCCATTAGCTTCTAGTCCTAATCAACCTTGTATAATTTATGGCTTTTGCTAGTTTAGCTAAGTGATTCCTACGTCTAAAGAATTGATTTATCCGATTTGTTTTCTATTCTAGAACTAATGAAATCTAATGTTAAACTTTGCAGACAGTGTGCACCCTTTTGGCTATGATTGCGTACAACTTTTCTTTTTTCACATCCTCCTTATAAAGAAGGTTTGGCTTGCAATTGCTTTCTGGCATAATCATGCCGAATTTTCGTTTTACATTGCTATAGGAAATCAAATCCTTATTATAATCGTCTGGATCATTTTTACCAGTGCAGTTTTAGTCATTAGTCATCCCACCCATAGTGAATGGCAAGTAACAATTTTTGGATAATAAAATGCTTGGCCATTGAATATCTTTGTCTATTTTCACATCCTCAATTATATGGATAAACTACATAAAACCCCCCAACTTATAGGGTCATTTACAAGTTTATACTTGATTTTAGGGATATTTACCAGTACATAATCAACATCACGGAAACCTTACAATTTGCCCCATTCGTTAGCCAAACCGTTAGTGAATCTGTTAAATGGCTGATGTGGCAAATGTAAGACCCATTTTTTGATGACTTGGATTTCCAAATGGACAAAAAATTAATAAAAAATTATATACTTATTAAAATAAAATAAAAAACTAAAAAACCACAACAACAACAACAAAAAATTAAAAATTAAAAAAAAAAAACTCATCTTCTCCGTAGCCCCTCTTCCCCAGGGAAAAAAAAGGGCTCCCTTCCAGCCCAACCTCTAACCCACCATCCGCCGTCACCACATCCCCCTCTCCCCAACGCACCCTCGTCATCAATGTTCCCTTTGGACATCATCGGATTGGCTTTTAGATCTTGAGGCACCTCCTCAAACCTGTTCACATCATCCACATAATGTATTTTTCATTAACTTCAGAGAGCTCGGTGCCCGTGTTTAAATCACTTACCAAAGTACTAGGGTCTGGTATAGCATAAAAGTCTTTAGATTCAATTTCTTTTCCATTCACTCTCTTGCCAGGGTTTCTCTTTTCCTTTTGTCAACCTTCTTCATGCGTTGCTTGGTTTAGTTCGCCCAACTTGAAAGCTGTTGATTTTTTCCAATGGGGGATGTCACCAATGGCAATGGTGGTTATGGTTGGAGATGGTTCATCGCACCGGTGAATTTTATTTTTGTAGCAACTCGCCCGAGCTCAAATGGAAACCTTTCTTTGCTGGTCGAATTTGGGGGTCATCAGATATGATGCATCGCATGTGGGTTGAGTTTTGGGCTCGTCGGATCTAGTGGCGGCCAAAGAACTCTATAATTAGATGGTGGCGTGCACGTGGCAGTGATGGTGGAGCGGCTGGGAAGTAGGGGTGTCTTCCACCATGTCGATATCGATTTCGATTTCTGCAAATAAATCAAATAATAACATGTTTAGAGGATTTGGTGATGTTTGGGTTTTGGTTTGGGGATGGGTTTGTTTTTCATTGGCAAGTGGAGACATAATTAAAGTACTACTGTAATAATTTAGTAATATGAGGGATGGAAAGTAAAGTTTGGTCTTAGTGAAAACTACTTTTTTTAATGAGCACTACTTTTTTTAATGTGAAAACTTTTTAACAAGACACTCAAATTAGCTTGAGATTAGGAAACTCATATCATTAATTACACCTTTCAAAATGGTTAAGGTTCCATTTTCGGTTCCGGATTCTCTGTTCTGATTTTCTCTATCATGATCTACTTAACTTTTGTTCTCCACCTGACACCTTATTAAAATTTAATCTAACATATTTAAATTGGACACATCATCCTCTGCTATAATTTTCTCTACCATGATCTGTTTTGATTCTCTCTGTCATGATCTGCTTGACTTCTTCCCTACATATGCTATCCCATTAAAATTTAATCCAAAGCACTTTAAGTTGACACATCATCTTTAAAACAAAATCCAATTTCAATCACATATCAAAACTTTTACTCCAAACAATATCCTCAAATCCCCCGTCAATCCATACTCAAATAAAACCAGGCTCCTCTCGGGCTGCTCATTACTCATAAACATAACTTTCCAAAACGTTTCTAAACTTCCAAAGCCATTCAATATATCTACCAATCATGAATGTTATCTCAATAAATCCATAAGTTCCAAAGCGTTTCTCAAACCAAATCATAAACTTAATCAAAATCATGCACTTCAATACAAGCATAAGTTATAAAGCTCCTAAACAAGTCTTCACCACATGTGAGCAGAGGGATTGTCAGATTTGAAAGAACGTTCTCGTGTATTTTTCAGATTCAATGTGAAATTGTAGAGCATAAGCATGAACAACAATCTATCTCTCTATGTTATACCAAACTCAAGTCTGGTTGAGCAATGGCGGAACTAGGAATTTTTCAATGGGTGTGCTAGTTAAAGTTGTTATAGCTTAAAATCTAAGGACCAATTTTTGTTTGGGTACTTACTGTTTCTATAGTTTTTCTAGAAATATATTAAAGTACATATTGGGATAAATAGTAAAAGGTTGAGAGTTAAAATCATGTATTTATTAAGAGATTATTTTATTAATTGAGCAAACAAATTAAATATAACATGATTATATGCCCACAAAAATTGAATGGACAGTGGGTTACAAAACTACATTTGAGTAAGCTACTAAGTTTTTATGTGATGAATAACATTAAACTATATGTAATATATTTTAATTTTATAAAAGGCTACCTGGGCTAGAGCCCATGTTAGCCCTCTACCTAGTTCCACCCATGTGGTTGAGTTCATACAATTTCTCATGGGGCTTAACGACTCTTATTCTGCTGTAAGGGGACAAATTTTTTTTGATGCAACCATTAATCCTACAGCAAAATCAGTATTCAAGTTTATATATTTGTATTTAAGCATTATTGCAAGATGACGGATCTGCTATATATTTGTATATCTATACATGCACACGTACGTACGTATACGTAGGTTAAAATTTCTTTCTTACAGGAATTGGGGGGAGCGTATTACTACCAAAAGAGCCGCCTCTTGTTCTACTTGAAAAGGTTAAATTATGAGATGACAAATAAGAAGCCCTTGAAGCTGATGAGGTCTTCTTAATCTTAGAAATGGTGGCCTTAGGAAGTGTGTAGGATCTGTAGCTACCCAAGCCACCCCCATAGCTCTTACTTTGTTTTAGTGCTTTTCTTTGATTGTAAGGACTCTCTTTCTTTGCAAGATCTCCAATGCTCTTGACCTTTGACAATGATGTAAATGACTGACACTTGCCTTCAAAATACTTCGAAAGTCCTCTTCTGTAGATTCCAAAATAAATATTAATATGCAACATCCAGCTAAAAGTATCAGGTTGATATATAGAATTAGAAATCATGAATTGAGATGAGTTTGCTTTTTTCTTTAATCTTACTTGATGGGTAGCTGGGCCATGAGATCTGACAAGTCATACAAAGAACCATGAGAATTGAAGGAAGAAGAACATGATGATGATGTTGTTGTTGATGAAGATGCATCATCTACCAACTCCAAAGAAGATGTCGATCGATCGGAAACCGATATGGATGATGTGGTGTCGTACATATACCCATTATCGTCATCATCACCATCATCATCATGTCCTTTCATGATCACGCAGCTATCTTCCCGTGCTTTTGTGTAGCTAATATCATATTGTGTGATCAAGCATGGAGCGTGAAGCATGTGTTCTTCACTACCTTCACCCATAGATGGAGCAGCCTATTATATCTTAGCAAGATGAAGAAGAAGAAGAAAGTTATGGATATAATCGTTTGAAAGAGGTTTTCATATATATATATATATATATAGAGAGAGAGAGAGAGAGAGAGAGAGGACATGACTCACACGGATTAGACTTGGTTGCCTGCAAGGAAGGGGTGTCCTCCTCATGACATGTAATGACATGGAGATTTTATGCGTTTTAGGCAAGGAAGCAACACATACATACACTCATGTTTAGTCTAATAAAAGAAATACAAGATGCAAATGGGTGTTTTTTTAAAAAACTATGGGTACAAACGTGGACCACTAGCTAATCAAAACAACATGCAATTTCATGCACTCAACTGTCTCCCAATGTTTTCAATATGATTGCCTTATCCCAAGATTCCTCATTATCTTCTTTATATGTTACGAATAAACAAAAGAGGATAAGCTCTATATCCTTTAAGCCACCACCTACGTGCGTAAATGAGTCACCATTGGACCATTGTTGTGTCCATTTTTATAATGCAATTTTCAAGGTTCATTGGGTCAAAAGAGAAGGTTGTTCTAGATGTACCAACATTAGGGTGCATTGTTTAGATAGGTATGTGCTTACTCCAACATCTCCTAATTAGGCTACTTCCTTATCAAGAATCATTAAGGGTCAAATTATTAAATTAATAAACGAGGTTGTGTGGTGCAAATTCTTTTGTTAGTCATTTTTGTTTTGATCCTCTCCTAGTTTCTTAATTGTATTAATATAAATTTCCTAGAATTTTTTTTTTCTTTTCCTTGCTTTTTCGGTTACGCAACATATATAGCTTAAGATTGTGTTTGGTGCATAAGAATATTTCCCATTTTTTCTCAGAAAAAGATCATCAGTAAACTTCTATTTATGTAATCCTTAGTGGATTTGAATCCTCTGCTTGGATTTTTTTCTTTGTTGGAATTTGCTTCTCTTTTTCTTCTAAATATGTCGTGTCATTAAAGAACATTGTTGGAAAGGAATTTGGGTTTTTTACAATAGTTTCTAGAAAGGAATTAACCGTAAACAACCAAGAACAAGGTCACTTTGATAGTTATTTTTTGCTTTTCTTTTCGTAAGTTTTGCTTCCAAAATCGTCCCAAAGACAAAATTGATGTTATAGAAAGTACAATTAATTGAGCTGCATTTTCAGATATGAATTTGTTTTATGATTTGATTAAAGAAAAAGAAGAAATTAATACAAAGAAGATAAGATGATATACATGAATGATTTGGTTCACGTACCAAATCATAATTGGACCACACCAGGGATTAGGCTGTTTACACTTTTTATAGCACCTCACCGAAATATTAAAGTGATTGGACGGACCATTAAGGCCAGCACTTTTTGACTTGATAATGTAAATCCATCTAAAGAATCACAGATGGGGACTTGATCGGCAAACGAACCTTCTCACATCTATTCAGATTAGTCTTCCTTACAGCCTTGCCCTACGCCTACCATTATTATCTGCTCTTCTTCTACCCTTATCCACACTTCTCTGTGCCTTCAAAAACCCATCGACATCATCCTTCTACGATGTTGATGGAGATTAGGTCCATGTGTTTTCATTCTCACACAAGATTTCCACTATTCAATCTCCTTTTAAACAAGAACTCAGAAAAGTCAGTTGGCATCAATAGCCATTATTAGTTCTCGTAATTTATAGCCAATTTGATTTTGTATATGAAATTTCAACTCACGATCTCCTCTCTAATAAAGTGTAGAGCAAATTCACATTGGAATCTGAGTTCCAAAATTCGGATTAGGGCCCAATGATTTTTTTTTTTTTTTGGGATCAAATAGAAATTTCATTAGATAAACTTCAATAATACAATCAAAAACATCAATAAGACATCTAAAATATCAATCCCAAAAGAGCAACAAACTAACATGCTAAAAGCAAAACTAACACAGACAAAAGCTGCATTAAAACTACTCGCCCACATCATCACAATTAGCTATAAGTCCAAATAAAGCCCACAAACCCAACATAACCAATCCTAAATCAACCCATGAGCCTAAACGAACTCTACCACCACCACTTGAAGAAGCGTCATCGCGGCCATACCCACCACCGCATCCGTAACAGATCTAGAGAAAATATGATTTCCAGCGATTTACTTGTGCATAAGAGCGAACAAATAAACGAAAGCAACAACTTTGCCAAAGAACAATTGGGTAATTTGCAGCAACCTCCGTCAAAGACGATGTAGAATCAAATTTAAAGAACATGAGCGGCGTTAGGGAGTTGGTTTTGGGAGTAGGATTTGATTGAGAACATAGACTAAAATGGGTGGCGGGAAGCTTCAATCTAACCATGGCTTAGAAGAAACCACCATAAGAGGCTTTTTATTCAAAATGCTCCAGTGAACTTATTCACTAACTACAAAAAAAAAAAAAAAAAAAAAAAAAAAAAAAAAAGGAAGGGGAGAAGGGGCAATGACGCTTCTTCCTCTTCCCCCATCCATGGAATTTTCCTTTAGGATTCACAAAGCTCTCAAACCATTTGAAAGATGATTAGGGCCCAATGTTGGTGAACTGATTAGATAATTTTCCTATTGTTTTATGATTGAGATGTCGCTATATACATAAGCTGCGTTAGGAAGTGGGTTTTGGGAGTAGGATTAGATTGAGAACATAAACTAAAAGGGGTGGTGGGAAACTTCAATCTAACCATGACTTAGAAGAAACCACCACAAGAGGTTTTTTTTATTCAAAATGCTCCAATAGACTTATTCACTAACCTAAAAGAAAAAGACGAGAAGAGAAGAGGGGGAGGATGGGGCAGTGCTGCTTCTTCCTCTTCCTTCCTCTATGAAATTTTCCTTTAGGACTCAAAGAGGGAGAGAGCGGCTAGGGTTGGATAGCAAACAACTTTGAAAGGTGATTAGGGCCCAATGTTGGTGAACTGAATAGATAAATTTCCTATTGTTTTATGTTTGAGAGTGTCGCTATATACACTCAGATATTTGATCACTACACCCAGCATTCAAAAAGAAAATTTGTAAATTTGTTATAAAATAGACAGAGTATGAAAGTACCATTGAATATTGGGGTGGGATTGTATTTGCTTTTTTGGTATTAGACTGATAGAGTTTTATCTCTCGGATAAAACTTTCTAACTCTCTGATTTCTCTCTCACTTTCTCTCTTTTGATTGTTGCGTGTCAAAAGCTTGAAGATTGCCTCAATTTATAGGCGGATTATATAAGCTTCACAAAGTGACTAAGCCTATAAGTCTTCAACTCTCCATAAAACTAGGGGTGGAATTGGTTCGGTAACCGACCCGATGAGCTCCAATCGATAACCGACCGAGGGTAGTCGGTATACCCAAAATTGAAACTGCTGCCAACTCCGACTCCGTCGGTTTATCGGAATTCGGTTTAACAGAAACCATCAGTCGGAATGGTTCAGTGACGGTAAGAAACTTGATAGATCGATAGATAAAGAAAAAGAGGTGGAGGAGAAGAGGAAGAAAGATGAGCCATGAAGATGAAGGCCGGCGGTGAAGAGGAGAGAGAAGGAGGAAGATGAGAAGAAGAAGAAGAAGGGTTGTGATGGGGACAAGAAGAAAGATGGAGGAGGATGAGGATAAGAAGAGATGGTGAGATGAACTTCGAAGAAGAAAGGTGGCAGCGAAGAAGAGAGAGAGGGGGGAGAAGAAGAGATGAGCTCGTGAGGGGGATGAAGAAGATGGCGGCTTGAGAGAAAAATAAAAAGAAGATAAAGAATAGGATCTGGAATTGAAGAGAAGCTAGGGTTAAAAACCCTAATTTTTTTATAATTTTTTTTAATTCTCTTTAAAAGCTATTAAATACTCTTGTTGTACAAAGATTTAATAAGAAAGCCAAGCAGTCTAGTGGAAAGATGGAATAATTTGAAACCCTAGGTCAGGGGATCAAATCCCCTAGAAGGCGTATTTTTTGCACAATTTCGCAAGAATCTGTTCTGTTCGGTTCACCATCGGTTTGGGATTTCCTCAACTGTGACCGGTCCGATTTACGGCGGTTTGGTTCGGTTTGCAAACCGAAAACCGAAATTTGAGTGACAAATGCTGAAACGATCGGTTCGATTTAGTTCAATTTGGTCGCTGGTCGATTTTTCGGTAGAAAATGCCAGCCCTACATAAAACATGGTATTTCACTTCCAATATTATTCTTCACTTTCAATATGTGGGCCATCCATCATTTACAACAAACTAAGAAGACAAGAAACTTGGGGAAATAAGCAATCCTAGAAACTGCTTATGTGTGCAAAAGGTTAATTTTAGAAGCAATCCTCCTAGAACACTGCTTATGGATTTGTCTTTCTGATAATTTTCTTATCGAAAAGAATGACTATATGAAGGGGAGCTTTGGCGTGTTAAAGGAAGATTAGACTTAGGGTTCTTTTTCTTGTGGGGAAATCCTAAGATACCTATAAATTTATATATAAACAAAAACTATAAAACTCAATTAACAAGTATTACAGTCTGATAAATAAATAAAAAAACAAGTATTACAGTTTTGCAGTAGGAAAGAAATAGAGGGTTTCTTATGGTAAGGGCATGTAGCTTGAGTGGTTAAGAGCATTTACTGTCTCCCCCAATATCATTTGTTTAAAAAATAAAAAACCAACAAGATCTAACCTAATGAAAAAAAATCTTGACTTGTTGATTAGTGGTCGTGTTCGAACCCCCACCCCCCTCTAATTTAGATTATTGTACATACTAACAAAAAGAAAACAACTAAAAAAAAAAAAATTGGTGAAAAATAAAAAAAAGGTTAATTTCGGTGTAGGATCCTGAATTTTCATGAACCGATAACATACTTTAGGATCCTGAATTTTCATGAACCGATAACATATTTTCATTCGGTTAAGATTGTTAGAGTGTTGCTATATATATACACACAGATATATGATCACTACACCCAGGCCCAGCATACAAAAGAAAACTTGCGAAATTTCCAAATGTTCCCCATGATAACATCACAATAACATGAAATCCAAGCTTTTTCAAACTTAAAAAATGCAGTCAATAGGAGCACACAGCTGTGATTAAATACACAATTAAGAAAACAAGGAAATCAGAGAAGTAAATAAAACAATCCTAGAACACCAATAGTCACTGCTTCTGTCTGCGCATGGTCATTCCCAGCAGCACCACCAGTGCCAGTTCATGGCCAAATAGCAGGAAGTAGATGCAAGCCCAAAAAGAGAGAATTTCAAGATATGAAAACGATGATGGTGAGATGAGCTACAGCCCCTGGTCAATCAGGTAGTCTCCCAGCCTCTCCACAATAATATTACATTGTCCCGGAGTCAA